CTCTCTCTGTCAAATAAATAAAATCTTAAAAAAAAAAAAAAAAAGCCCCAGGGGCAGTGATGAGTGCAGCGTTCTGCTGGAAGCTGGACACAGTGAGTCAGTGACATGGCCCCCTGTAGGGCCCTCCTGCCACCCACCCACATGTCTCTGCCCGCTGTGCTTTGTGCTCTGTCCCAGGCCCTACCTCCAACGCCTCCATTTTCTCTGTGTCTTTCCAAAGTGGACCCACTCTTCTGGGTCCAGCTCAAATGTGCTTGGCGCCACCCGCTCTGAACTCCAACAGCACTGGCTATCTTTGGAGCTCATCCCTCCGAGAGGACAGGCCCTCTCTTCTTAAACCAGATCCCCTGGTAACCCTTAGGTGGCCCCAAAGGGGCTCCGTAAACACAGATGCTGATTAGGTGAGACAGGCTGTCCCTGCCCTCTGGGGCATTTCAGTCTAAGACTCGCACACTGACCAGGACCGATGACAGGGGAGGAAGCCCCAGACCCTGGAGGTCAACAGCAAATGCTAAATAGGTAAAGCTACCCCAACCAAAGGGACCATGAAAGCCTTCCCCAGGGTGCTCTTTCCTACCCATTAGCTCACCTGAAATGGACTGGCGGGTACTTATTCCCATTTCACTGAAGAGGAAAGAAACTCAGGCTGAGGACACATGGCTGGTTAGGGTCAGAACATGTGTGGTTCTGGTTCTGGGCTCAACAATCACAGGGGCAGCCTGAGGAATGGTTGAGGCCATGGCCCTGGGGCCAGGCTGCAGGGGTTCAAAGCCCAGATTGGCCTCTTATTAGCTGTATGACCTTTGGGCACGTTACTCCACTGGCTTCCTCATCTATAAAAATGGGGAGAATGATAATAATAGTACCTATCTCATGAGGCTGGAATAAGGGTTGAACGAGTTCACTTGTGCCCAGCTCTCAGCCACGCCTGGTTCCTCTCTCTGCATCCAGCCTCCAGCTGCAGGGGCAAGAGGGTCCCTGAGTTTCCGTGTTTGCTCAGGGTAGGGCTCCAGCAAGTCAGCCTTCCGCCCCTTCCCTCCCAGTGGGTGCAGGTGTGTGGTTATGTGGGTTCAACGTGGCAAAGCTCCATCCGTGTACCTGGGCCAGCTGCAAATCCTGGATCTCAACACGGAGCAATCTCTAAAATAAATAATGTGAAAATAAACCCATCATGCAGCTAATGGGAGATTTTCTTCTTGTCTGCCCTGGTAATTGAGCCTCTGTCGCCAGCCTCCTACTTCCCCCGATGCCGGCACACCCCAGTCTGGTGCTAAGTCCCGCTTTCCCACCTTTAATCCGAGCCCAGTAGGGCCGAGAATTGCAGACGCGGGGAAGTGCCAGGAGCCAGGGCTGGGTGCTGAGCCAAGCCGGGGAGCTCCCTTACAAAAGGAACAGGTCCTTCCCTCCCACAGTTTCTCAGGCCCAGCCACCGAGGCGGGGCAGCTCTGTTTCATGAACAAAGGGTCTTTGGCCCAAGTTCAGTGGGGCAGAGGTCCTTGGAACCTGAACCACGTGGGCAGCCTAGCTGCTCCTCCCTTCCTGCAGGTCCAACAAGCGCCTGGAGCATCACCCAGGGTCAGGCACCCTGCCCCCAGCAACACCTCCCTCAGCCAGCCCATCCCGGATGTGTCAACAAGCAGGACGGGGAAGAAAGTGCCTCACTGACATTTTGAGAAAGCCAGGACTGGTCCCAAAACAAACCGACAAAGGGAATACATCGTCTCCACGAGAATTTGTCACAGAAGAAAATCCTATATTCTTCAGGGGGGAGAGGCCCCTGGATGTCACTCTGTCCATCAGACGAGGCCCCCTCGAGTCACCCCAGGCAGACAAGGGTGTTGAGGACCCCACTCCCAACACGGGCCTTCGAGAGGATCCTGCTATGTCTAACCCAGTCCATACGGGTCCCATCCTCAGGGACCGGGTCCGAAAAGCCAGAGTGGTTACCAGGCAAGAATGAGTCAGAACCTAGAAACCGGGGGCCAAGAGCACCCGAACAAGGTGCAGGGCCTGCAGAGGACCAAGCCCACAGCATGCTTCCTTCCTCACACCCCTAATCACTTCACCTTCAACCACAGCTGTCCTGTTATCCAGATAAAGTCAGGCTAAGTGGACCACCGAGAGCGGCTGTTAAGGGGAAACAAGGAGCCAAAAGCTCCCATGCTGAGTCCTGGCAGAGGACACGGGAGTCCCCTCTATCTTAATGCTGGTGGCGAATGGAGGGCTAGGGTCATGCGATACTGAAAGTCCAGGCTCTGGAATAGCCACACTGCCCGGGTTCCAATTCGACCTCTACCACTTCCTGGCTGTGTGACCTTGGGCATGATACTTTGCCTCTCTGTCCCTCAGTTAATTTTTCTATAAAATGGGAAGGACAGCAGGGCAACTGGGCTGTAGCAAGGTTTAAGCCAGGAAACCCATGTCTGCCCCTGAATGTGTACTGGCTGCCACGAGGCTGACCCGTCTGTCCAAGGTGTCCTGCCAGAGGCAACTAACACTCTTACTTTCACTCTCAAAAGTGAATAGATTGCATGAGAAATTATCAGGCTGACGAGCTCTTGTCTTTTGTTATGTCCGTCTGGTGATCTCCCTGCTTTGTGCCGCCTCTCTGAGCACTGGGGAACCCTATTCCTGAAGTGCGGGTCCCCGAAGAGTGGTCCGTGCCATGGGCTCAGAGGCTCCTTCTTCTCTTCACCGTGCCCCCCCTTCCTCTTCTCCCAGGGCCACCCCCTCCTCTCTGCTTCCTCCCTGTTCACACCTCAGCGGGTGGGACGTCTGAATTGACTGGCAGCTCCCACAGACCCTGCACCCCCCGTGGCTGGGACACTTTTGGGCTCTAAATCAACTGGGCCTCACCAAATTTCTGTTAAAGGAAAGGAAACAATCTGAGATGTCAAAGAAATCACCTGGTCACTGGATGGATATGAGTGGAAATAACGGGCCACTTTGTGTATGTGTGTGTTGTTTAAAGGAAATTAAACAAAAAGAACAATAACGGCTTTAAAAGGGTCCCTTCCATGCCAGAACCTGTCCATAAAAACCTCAGAGTCAAACACGGGGCAGGTCCCCCACCAGTCCACTATGTGTAAGTGCACAGACATACAATGGGCTTTCCCAAATGCTCCGGGAGACTCACTACGTGGCGGTGCATGCATACACATACGCACACGTGCACACGCACACACACACAGGCACGCAGGCACAGGCACCTGGGCCAGAGTCAGCAGGGCCGGCTGCGTCACGTGCCCAGACCACAGCAGGAACGGCCGGGGAGGAAGTGCAGCCCCAGTAGCAGCCCATTTCCTGACCCACTTCCTCTGCTCTGGGAGGTTCTCTTTCTGTCTCTTGGTCTTCTGATTCTGTCTCTCTCTCTTTCAGTTCTTTTGTTTTACACAAGGCAACAGCCATGCTGCTGTCCTGACCCACATGGCAAGAGCTCCTAGCAGCAATGACCTGCAAGTGGGTTCTCCTTTCTAGACCTGTGACCTTGGGCGAGTCACTTCTCTCTGAGCCTCACTTTCCCCATCTGAATGAAGAGGCTGGGTGTGGCAAAAGGGTCCCTGAGGTCCTTCCTGATCTCAACCCCAGGGCTTCTCTGTCCTCCTCCAGTCACCCTCCATCTGCGCGACCAGGGAGCAAGGGCCAGGTCAGGCCTGGGGGCAGGGGTGGGGGCGCCTCTCTGTTCCCCTGGGGTGGGGCACAGCCTCCCCTGCCTCCCTTTTACCCGCCTCCCAATTCCATGTGCTGCACACACAGACGCGCACACTTGGCTGCCCCGGGGAACAGGGAGGAAGCGCCGGGTCCCCGGCTGCCCCGGGCAGAGGGGGCAGGAGAAGCGCGCACCCTGCAACCCTCCAACCCTACTCCACCCCTGTACCTTGGGCGTCGCCGCCTTCCCTCCTACCGCCCGCGCCGCGGGTTCGGCTCACAGCTGTCGGGTAACCTCTTGCCAGGCCCGGCTGCTCCACTTTCTCCGCCCCAATCCGCGCCGGCTGGCCCAGCCCCCGGCGCCACAGAAGTGGCAGCGGCGCGCCTGGAGCCCCGGCTGTGGGCGCCGCCGCCCCCTGGGTGCCCTCCGGGATCCGCACGCGCCGCGCGGTGGGGTCTGCGCGGGCGGGAGGCGACCTCAGACTGCCAGGGAGCCTGGGTGCTGAGGGCGGGGCTGCTGCTGACTTAGCCTGCCTGACTGGTCAGACTTCCCGCGCCCCTCTGTTCCCGAGTCCCCACTGGGCCCCTTGCCCTGGTTCCAGAATGTTTACAGGCTGCACAGCCCGCAGGAGCCCTGCTTTTCTCTCCCTGTGGGTCTGCACCTGTGAAAAACCCACCACATCCAGGTCCACTCCCGCTGTTACCTGCGTGCATTTTGTCCTTTATGCTTTTCCAGCCTCTTCCATACAGTGAACTGTAGGCATGCATGCCCATGTCATAAATTATCCAATACATATTTATTAATAAAGCATTAAATAAATCTCCAGAGGCCTCCCAAGGTTCAGGCTGAAGGATAACCCTCAGTGTGGTACACAAGGCCCTCCAGGGCAAACTCTCTGGCCACCAGCTAATTTTCCAGCCTCGCCCAGTCTCCCCCAAACACACATACAGGCACCCCTACTAGGCACACAGGCTGTTGCCCAACAGCGGCGCTGGGAGTTCTTGCTTTGCCTGGAATGCCATTTCCCTTCCTTGTCTGCCTGTGGAACTCCTACGCATGCATCCAGGCCCCACTGAAATGTCCCCTTCTCCACGAATCTTTCCCCAGCCTCTTCTTGGTTGGCAGACCATTCTGGTGCTGGTGCACATGATAGCACCCCCTTTCTCTCTCCCTTTCTGCTGGTCCTACAACAGGGGTTTTGCTGCATTGTGTTTTCGTTTTTATTTTGAGGGGAGTGCTGGAAGCCTTGGGAGTGGATGGGAAGGGAGGAAGTGGAGACCTGAGGAAGGAGGCTGGCAGCGGAGGCTAGAGAAATGCAGAGGAGACTCAGAAGTGTTTGTAGATCGTGGTCAAGAATCTGATGAAGAAAGAAAGGATGCTGAGTGCGGAGGGGTCAAAGGTCCTGGTTCCAGAAGAGGCAACGGGACTGGAGGCATAAGAGGGGGGGGGGAAGCCCCTTAGTCTCAGAACCAGGGGAGGGAGATCGAGATGTAGAAGGATGAGGAGAGAGGCAGGGGGAGGGAGCTCCTGGGTGACGGCGGTGTTCTCTAAGACACAGGGCCATAAGTAATGGCTGAGGGTCTGAGTAAGCCAGTGGGGTGGGGAGCATTTAGACACCTGTGCTGTGAGTTGCTGCCTCCTCTGCTGTGGGGGAGGGGAGCACCCAATACGGGAGAGTAGCAGGTAGGCTTGAAGGGCACAGGGACACTTCCCAGAAGTGCGCTCCCTGAGTCACCTTTAAGCTCCACGGGAGCTTCCCTCCTGGCATCTCTATGTTTTCTTGCTCACATACTGCTCGCAGCTGAAGGCCCTTTGGCTCTCCTGGTCCGGCCCCCCCCTGCCCTGGGAGAAAACAGTGGAAACGTTCACTGTCCCAGTACAGGAATTCCCCCGCTGTCCCTTCTTCCTTATTATGAGTGGCTATGATTATGGAGTTGCCAACAGGTGGAAGCCAAAAGAACAAACAGACTTTTCAATATTGACTCTTCCAGGTGCCCTGCAGAGCGGCAGTGTCTGCCCCGCCTCCCAGAGCCTCCCCCGCCACCCCCGCTGAAGTCCCCGGCAGACAGTTGCTGAGGGGCAGGGGGCCAGTGAGCTCCGCCAGGCCAAGTGGACCCCAGGGGAGACTGCCCTATGTCTGCCTCTTCCAACTTTCTCCTCTTGGAAAATGCTGGGCTTGGGGGGAAGGAGGGAGGGAAAAGGAGACATTTTCTATGAGATTGCAAGGGCCAAGTCAGGCTCACAGCTCTTACTGAAACATAAAGCTATGGGGCACCCAGGGGGCTCAGTCGGTTAAGCATCTGCCTCCAGCTCAGGTCATGATCCTGGGGTCCTAGGATTGAGTCCCGCATCGGGCTCCTTGCTCTCGGGGAGCCTGCTTCTCCCTTTCCCCCTCTGCCTGCCGCTCCCCGCTGCCTGTGCTCTATCTCTCTGACAAATAAATAAATATCTTTAAAAAAAAAAGAAAAAAAAGAAACATAAAGCTATGGGACACCTGGGTTGTTAGTCAGTTAAGCATCTGCCTTGGGCTCAGGTCATAATCCCGGAGTCCCAGGGTTGAGCCCCCACATTGGGCTCCCTGCTCAGTGGGGAGTCTGCTTCTTCCTCTGCCCCTCACCCCACTCATGCTCTCTCTCCACTCTCGCTAGCTCTCAAATAAATAAAATCTTTAAAAAAATGAAATGTAGAATGTAGGAAAAGTAGGGCCTCCTTGAGGATATTTATGAAAGCCATGAACTGTCCCTGCAGGCTTCGCCAATCTGAAGTCCTTCAGAGGCTGGACAAGTAAGACATGAGCAATGACTTTCTTCCCTCTCTCCCGGAGCAAGAATGGGCTTCACCATTCAGATAGAGTTGTAGTTAGGGAGCTGGAAAAGAACTAAGTCACAGAGCCAATCCCATCTATCCTGCAGTGGGTAACTAGGGTCCAGGGCGACTTGACCAACTTCCGCGGTGACTTGACCTCTCCCGTCAATGAGGGCAGGATTTCATTCCACCCCATTCTCTACAAGGGGCCTCTGATGCGACCTTGGGTGGGATATTGTTCTTCCTATCAGGAATTTCTGAATTTCCCATTTATGGAGCAGGGAAAGAAAAAGTGCCACTTAATCAAGGGTGTCCCTTAAAGGACAATAGATCCATATCATTACGTCTGCTAAAAAAAATGTAAAGGCTCTACAATGAGTAATGTATTGCCCAAAAAGTGCAGGGAAATAGAGGTAAAATTAGCTCCTGTGGGAATGATGAAATTAATGTTTTATATCTACTATTTTGGTATTTATAGAATTTAAAAAAAATTTATTTATTTATTTGAAAGAGAGAGAGAGAGAGAGAGAGAGAGCATGAGCAGGGGGGAGGGGCAGAATGAGAAGCAGATTCCCCACTGAGCAGGGAGCCTGATGCAGGGCTCAAACCCAGGACCCCAGGATCATGACCTGAACCGAAGGCAGACGCTTAACCGACTGAGCCACCCAGGTGCCCTGCTATTTATAGAATGTTTGAGAAAGGAAAGGACAGCTCTTCTGTCCTCACGAGGTTGCTTTCTCACACATGCATACGCATGCACACAAAACCCGACTGCAGTACCCTGGCTACTAATGTAATAAACAAAGCAATCAGAAACAGAGGAAAGTAAAAGGGGGTTCCATAAGCCAAGAAACGTTTTCAAGCCGAGTCTGGTGGATGGAACCCAATTGCTCCTGAGAGCAGTGACAACAAAGGGAAGCTGCCGCCCCTTACATTATGGGATGGCTCCAAATTACCTACTTCTTCCACCATCAAAAGCTGGTCAGGAACATTGCCATTTGGGGAAGATGTTTTGTTTTGGTAAAGGAAAAACAAATGGTTTTTCTAAGCTGGTGCTCTCAACCAGTACTAGATTTTAGATATCACAAATTATACGAGCTGACAATTTGGAATTTGAGAAGACAAAACACAAATAGAAAATAGACAAAACTCTATTGAAAAAAATATACAGCCATCTCTTGACCCATTAGAGAACAAAAATAATCAAAACAGCAACTGCTTGACCTGATCTCCAGGACACACAGTCCAGAGGCTCTAAAATAGCTAAATAGAAATAAAATCTCAAGGGTTATCATGGAATTTTGACTTCTATTTTGAAGGTTGAAAGTCTCCTTACGTCCTGCGGAATTTCTTCTGTAATGTCTCTTGCCCCATATCTTGTCTCATTTAACCCCTTAGCTAGGTTTCAGGACCTCTCTCTGGACCATGACCTTGACTGTGTTTTCTCAATCCCTCCTCCATCCAATGCAGCCCACACACAACTGCGGGATGATGCTATTTGTAAGGCACAGCTCCAGACACGTCCCTTCCCTGCACAACAAAACCTTCCAGGAACACCCCTTTTATAAAATTCAAAAATAAAACAAAATAAAAATCGTTGGGTTGGCCTCCAAAGCCCTCAACAACCACCAGGCTTGCTTGTCGCTACTCACCCATAAAGAAGCCATAAAGAGCCCCACATTGACTCTCGAGCAACCGTGGCTCGCTGACTTGGTTTTCTCTGCTTACCATCTCCATCCAAAGTCAGGGCCAGGCGCAGCTCTTACGCTGCTGGAAGCCATGGCTCATGGCTCTCAGGCAGGAGGGCCTCCTTCTTCCCTCAGCTCCCAGCCACTTCTCTTGGAGACAGAACTGCATAACCGGCCACCTCGGATCCTGTTTACCCGTGCAGCAGTGAGCTGTGGAATAGGAGGGGATTGAGAGGTAGACGCTAACTATTCAGCTTTGAGCCAGCTAGGGACTTTTTCTGATCTTCAGTTGTCTTATCTGTAAAACGTAGTAATGAACAGGACCCACCTACAAAGGTTGTTGTGAAAAGTAAGTGAGATAATTTGTGTAAGAAGTGCTTCGTATAATGCGTGATAGGACATCCGAGCTCACCATGTCAGGATGGAAGAGTATATGAGGGGCAAGAGAGAGGGAGGGAGGGACAGAGAAAGAAGACAAGGGAAGGGGCGCCTGGGTGGCTCAGTCGGTTAAGTGTCTGCCTTCAGCTCAGGTCATGATCCGATCCAGCCCCGAATCAGGCTCCCTGCTCAGTGGGGAACCTGCTTCTCCCTCTGCCCCTCCCCTGCTTGTGTTCTCTCTCTTGCTCACTGCCTCTCGAATAAATAAATAAAATCTTTAAAGAAAAAAAAAAAAGACAAGACAAGAGAAGGAAAAGAAGAAAAGAGAGAAAAAAATCAATAGCCTTTCCTTTCTACTGGAGTCAAAGGACCATTACCTCTTCTTAGAAGGAGCACACACTTAAAAATTTCCTTAGAGAGAAAATTTTGGATAAAAATGACATCGGGTTGGGGTGCCTGGGTGGCTCAGTTGGTTAAGTGTCCTGATTCTTGGTTTCGGCTCCGGTCATGATCTCAGGGTCTTGTGATCAAACCCCGCATCCGACTCTGCACTGATCGGGGAGTCTGCTTGAGATTCTCTCTCCCCCTCTCCCTCTGCCCCT